GATTTAAAGAGTTTAAAAAAAGAAATATCGGTTTACAAATACTTTGAAAAATTAGATTTTAACGTCGCAGAAAGGTATATAAATAAATTTGCAATCCTTGGAATCAACCGATTTCTACACAAGTTCCTTGCAAATACTTGGAAAGATGATCAAACTGAATGGCCATGAGTTCAATACCATGACGTTTATAATTATTTATTAAAAAGTCCTATAATATTTTCTTTTGAGGCTATAGGTAATTATGAAGCATTAGATGCTTATAAATATTTTGGCTTTTGCTAGATGCAGGAAGTTTTTCACAAGACATTATATTAGTTATATTAGGCTCTAGTTTTGTTGTTTTGAAAACACAAGTTGTCTGACTTGTGCATTTAAAACAACAAAACCATCTTAGTCACCAGAGTTGACTAAAAATAACAAAACCATCTTACAAAACATACATATATATATATATATATATATATATATATATATATAAAAATCAAAAATCACTTAAAGACACAACAACCCTTGTGCATTTTAAAGACTTTTATGTTATGCCATTGTTTTCGTTTCATAATGAAAGTTTATTTTCTCCCAACTAAAATGGTAGATGTTTGCGGCAAAGATTATGACGTATTTCCGACTGCGAGGATAAATGGGTTTTGACACTTTCCGTCGTTAGTCTTGTTCGTTGCACAATCAATTGATTTAAACTTGTACTTTATTCTTTGGATCTTTGCATTATATAATATAAGACTATTTCTTTTAATTTTTAAGTCCCTATATTTTGAAATCTTACTATAAGTAGAATAATTAAAAAAAAAACTTATTTTAAATGTAGTGAGCAGATTTTCATTCATTATTTTTTCTTTTATCATTCTTACTTTTTAAAAATTTTATTTTTATATATATATATATATATATATATATATATATATATATATATATATATATATATATATATATATATATATAAATATATATATATATATATATATATATATATATATATATGTATATATATATATATATATATATATATATATATATATATATATATATATATATATATATATATATATATATATATATATATATATATATATATATATATATATATATATATATATATATATATATATATATATATATATATATATATATATATATACAGGGTGTTCAAGATAAATTTGACATACTTATAATTGATTATATTTTTTTGTAGATTAGAGGTATTAACACACACTACAGGTCATTTAAAAGTTTGGACCCTTTTTCATTCATATACAAGAACCCACCTGAATCATGGAAGAGAATAACTTGCATCATGAGGATTCGTGCCGACCATCAAAATAAGGATATTATGACTGCTGCCCAATGCTCCCTGAACACAGTAAAAACAATCAGGCATGAACAAGAGACTTGCAATGGTGACTACGAGGATGTAGTTAAAAGAAAGATCCCTAGCAAATGATCTGATTGCATTCGTACAGCAGAATTCCTTGCAAGTCTGCAGGAACAGGTGTTGAAAAACCCTGGCATTGGAATTCGGGTTTTGTCACGTGAAATGAATGTTGCAGCCTCTACTATGAGGCTTGCACTCAATGAAAACCTTTGCTACTACTCATACAAGCGCCCCAAAGGTCAGCTACTCACAGAAAAGGCCTGTGAAAAATGTTTGATAAACGTGAAGAAACTTCTAGACAAAGTGAAACATCCTGTAGAACCACAAACAATCTGGTTCTTTTTTGATGAGCTTTGCCAGGATCAAAAACACAACACGCAGAATAACAGATAGCTTGCATGCAGTACAAAGGACATTCCTTGTGTAATACAGACTAAATTTCCCCAAACTGTGATGGTTTTTGGATGTGTATCCTCTGAAGGCGATGTGATGCCTCCGCATTTTTTCCAAGAGGACCTCAGGTTGACTTCAGATGGCTACGTGGAGTTGCTGAACACTGTAGTCAAGCCCTGGATAACAAGGGTAGCCAATGGTAGGCCGTATGTATTGCAGCAGGATTTGGCCCCTTGCCATACCTCTGGGAAAAGTCAAAAATGGTTGTCTGAAAATTTCTACGACTTCACCAGTCCAAATGTTTGGCCTCCAAACTCCCCAGACCTTAACCCCATGGATTATTTTGTATGGGGCGCAGTTGAAAAAGACACCAATCGCACTTCCAGTAATACAAAAGCCCAGTTAGTGGATAAAATTAAAACAGTTTTTGAGGCTCTTTTCAGGGAGACTGTAGCATTAGCTTGTTCAAAATTCCGAAGCAGGATTGAAGCAGTGATCGATGCTAATGGTTGTTATTTTGAGTGAATTTTGTTCATAGTATTGTAATTTACTATGCCTGTAATTTTTTTGTCAACTCATTAAATTTAACAAATACAAAGAAGATTTTCCTTTTTTTTTTGAAACTGTCAAACTTATCCCGAACACCCTGTATATATATAAAAGTTTTATTATAATATATAAAAAAAAGAAAAACCCAAACATTAAAATTTAAACTTTAACAACAATACTTATTTTTATTGATATCGGATCAACAATTTAATTGGACCAGAAAAAAAAATTATCAAACCAGAACCTTTCTTTGCAAAAAACAATATGGCGTTAAAAATTTTGTTATTACCTCAATAAATAATTTGTTTCGATAAATTTAACTAACTTTAAACTTATTTTTTAAGGTTTATTTAAAATATGAACACAGTTTATTTTGGTACATTTGGATCCCTTTTAGTGTCACTTAAATGTTGTAACAACTACATTAACTACAAAATAATTTTATCATTTTAAAAATTGGTTAACAATTTTAGTGGCTAATTTTTTATATTTATTTATAGAATTAGATTATGTATATATATATATATATAAATATATATATATATATATATATATATATATATATATATATATATATATAAAATTTATTTTTTTTAATTCTTATACCGTTGAATATTTTAAATCATTTCTTTCTTTATTTCCACAAGAACAGTAAAGGTAATTTTTATTTGTTTATGTATTACTTTTTTGATTGATATATAAAAAAGCGTAAATAAATAAAAAAACAACAACATATAAATATTTTTATTTAGACATTAACAATAAGAAATAAAGATTCTCTGAAGTAAAAACATCTTTCATTGCAAGAAATCATTGCAAAAAAATATTGTCCAATGATAAGGTTCATTATTCTCAAATTACTAAATCTGAAATTTAATCTTAGAAGCCAGGTTCTAGAAGCTTTTGGAAAATTTTTAACTATGCCAATCAAAAAGGTACATCTAATATTCCATTTCTCTTACATGGGTCTGATCTTATTACCTCTTCTAAGAAAAAAGCAGAAATATTTGTAAAGAACTTCTTTTAAGAAGTTTTTTTTTTTTTCTTTCTCTTCTCGTCATTCTATAGAAACAGATTAATCCACTGTTAGACATTTAAATTACTCAAACTACTTCCATAGCTAAAGCTTATAATTCTCCATTGGATCCATTAGACCAGATCCTGACCCAAAACCACTACAGGGTGCTGTCTCTTTGAAATGGTTCTGTCTTAAACTCGTTTGCCTACTTTAGACATTCCAATGATCAAGTCTTTGCATTAATTAACTTGAAGTTTTTACCCCTCATTGAATTTAAAATTATGTGGTTTAGATTTTGTCACAACTTAAAATAAACAAGATTTGCATGTTTTTGGGTTCTTGGAATTCATTTTTAGCTTTCTTTTTGAAAATCTATTATTATTTAACACTTGGTATCCATTTAACTGTCTGTTCATTTTATTCAAAATTTCAGTTCTGTCTTCCAAATTTTTAAATAAATAATTAAATAAAAGACCAATGAATCTTTATAAATTTTTCACTCAACTTTGATTATTATCAAATCTATTACAAAATATGCCTGAAAGCTCTGAGGAAACTTTTACACGCATGCAAATTGTTACTGGATTTTAAAATACTGGTTTGTTTCCACTCAACATCAAGAAAATCAATCAATAGAAATTAAAAATTGCTAATATTTTTGAAACACTTTCATCTTAACATTAATTTTTATCATTTCAACCACTAGAATCTATGCCAGTGCCACCACTAGCACCACTAGCTACAGCATCTCAGCAACTGCCTTCTTAATGTACACCAACATTTAGTATCAGCATAGGTTGTATAGACCAGCTTTATACAACCTATTTGACTGTAGAGTTAACTCAGTTAACTCTACAGTCAACTTGTATGCAATCAACCTGCAATATAACTTCGGTTGTTCAAAAGAAAAATTGTTGAACAATAAATGAAGTTGAAAAATAATTGCAATTAGCCCAATTGCTTGCCAAGTTTTGCAACAAATGTTTCGCATCAAAAAAACGTAGATGTGTCAAGATGTGAAGGAAATTGTCTCAATAAATATGAATATACAAAAGATTGAAAAAAAACCCAGCAAAGTTTACTAGAAAACAAAGCAAGCTTGACTTCAAACAAAAATGCATTCCAAAGCAATATATAAATGACACTGAGTTTTATTGCATTAAAAAGTGCAGCACGTTTGACAACTCAACTCAACTTCCAAGAACCTTTTAAAGACAACATTATCACATAAATAAACATATTTTCTTTATTGTTATTTTTTTAATTGTTATCGTTGGTTGGATTTTTAAATTAAGTAACTTTTATTTACCCATCAATTTGCATATTTCACTCTACCCAAATATGAGGGTAGAATGAAACTCTATCCTTGTGTTTTTTTCCCAGTTAAAATTAATTTAAATACACCTCACAATTCACTACAACTTAAAAACCTTTCTTTCGCAAAAAAAAAAAAAAAAAAGAAAGATTTAAAACTCTTAACTATTTTATTTGAGCTGCCTATACTCTGCTTATATAGTAAGAAATAATATGTAGTAATCTTATATAGTAAGAATACTGCTTATATAGTAAGAAATAATTTTTTATTTTTATCAAAGTAGACAAAAAAAAAAAAATTCTATTAGCGGCCTAAAATTATAATTTTAGAATTCTTACAAAATGTAGATATTATTGGATCATCAGTAGTGGTTATAAAATTTATAGTTTTGCTTGTTGTTGGAGCATCAGTACTACTTGTTGTTGTTGGAGCTTTAACTGTAGTTATTGTTGTAGATTTCATCGCAACAGTGTTTGGAGGTTCAGTTAATGTTGCTAAAAAAAATTTATGATTTTTTCAAACTTTTATAAATAACTTATTCTTAAACCTTAAATAACATTAAATTACCATATCATTATACTATACAATGCTCAACTTAATGACAGCAGCCATTACACCTTAGTTAATGTTGAGATTTTTATAAGAAAATGTGAACTAAAGTGTATGCAAATATCTAACTTATTTTAACTTTAAGTTATGTAATGTTAAAAGTTATATAAAGTTTCACAGTTTTACTCTTCTCACATGAAAATTGTATTGCAGCAATATCTCCTTAATTTTGTTAAATATTGTTAAAAAATATTAGTGTAATATGCTTTAGTGACCAAAGTGGTTAGCTGGCTGCGCTTCTAAAGGGAATTGCGGGGTTTCAAATATTTTTGCTTGCACATTTAATTTTTTGTTTAATTATTTCTAACTTTTTTAAAATACAGAATAAAATATTTTTATAAATTATTTAGATTTTATATACATAACATATATAAAAATATTATATACTATAACAAAAGAAAGAATATTTTTTAAAAAGCTTAAAATTTCTAAAAACATCAAAACACAAGGAGAAGATTGTTGTGCATATGTCATAATAGTCATGAATATTAATTAGTTTGTAAGTAATAGTTAATTAGTTAAGTATGCATGTATAACATTAAAGAGACTTTATTTTTTATATGAAAAAAATTTTTACATTCACACTTTTATTTCCTCAAAATAAAATCAAAATTAATTAAAAAAATTTAGTAATTGTTAAATAGAAACTTTATTGTAAAAAAAAACAAAAACTATAGTAATTATATTAGTACAGTTAATAATTATTCAGATGAGATTTAGATGATAAAATTTATAATTATTTAGATAAATATCGCAACTGCAGATAAGATTTTTTTCATAATTTTAAAAGATACTCAAGACTCAATTTATTTGATATTTAGTCTACCATCCTGGTGAAGGCAACTTACTTATGAGTAATTTTTTGTGGGTAAGAGTTGGAGTTTTTGCACTTAAACCATGAAAAGCAGTCTTCCCAATGATGGATAGTAACCTGTTATCACAAAAAATGTCCTAATCTACAAAACTGGTCAAAGTCAAGTCAGAATTTTAAGTTGATTGCATCAGTTGCAACTTACTGCTTCAACTCTTCCATAATGTTACATGTATTTTACATTACATACATACGTACAGAAAATGACTTAATGATAAAACAAGTTTTGAAAGTGATATTATTTTTATAGCTTATAACCGTGACTGTATCATACTTTTTAGATGGAGTGTGAGAAGGAACTTTCATAAAGCAGATTTTTATCTTTGTATACATAATTGTTATGTCAATTTTTTGCAAAATCAATAAATTTATAATCTATGAAAAATTTTAAGTTTTACTTAATAACCTCTAAGTATTTGAAAGTCATGGCCATGTAAAAATTACAAACCTTTTTTGGAGATTGGAATATTCTATGGTCATAACTTTCTTTTTTTCAGTGATGATATTGGACAATGTTGAGATTGCTTCTCTCAATACAGTCCAATACAGTACATTTATATTTCACACCTTAATTTTAAAAATGCCATCAATAATCAAAGCAACATTAATTTTGCTTTAACAAATAACCTTCATATATATATATTAGGGTGCATTGGAATATTAGGTGAAGAAAAAATAAACCAAAATTTGTATATGTAATAGTAATAAAATTCCTTTTTGGTTTAAAATTATTGAATTTCCCCCATAAAATTAAAAAAATTGTGCATTTCAGATGCCCCAAAAGTTTTTTTTAAAGTTTTTTTTTAAAGTTTTAGAATTTTTTTATTCCTTTTTTTTTTTCTTTCTTTTAGCAATGTTAATTGTTAATTATTAATAAAAAAAATTTAAAGGACTTTTTGGCCCCTTTTTAGACCATTTGGGACAATTGAACACCATAATTTTTTTTTGGGATTTATTTAAACAGAAATAATAATTTAAACTAAATTAATATAAAGTTGTGATACAAACATTATTTTTTAAACATTATTTTTCAAGATAAAAAAAAATTAATAAAACTTAAAAAAAAAACGGTTCTTAGAAAATGGTTTCCCAAAAGTGTTAAAAGAGAATCAAAAACCTTTTTTTTTACAATAAGCTTTGCAAATACTTTATTTAAAAAAAATTTAAATAAAAAAATTTCTAAAATTAAAAAAAAAAAAATAATAAATTTATAAGACTTTTTGGCTCCCTTGCCACCTTTTCGTTTTTCTTTCTTTTGGCACCTAAGAGCTTATCATTTTTTTTTTTTTTTTTTCAGAAATTTTAAAGCAAATGGCAACTTTTTATTGCTATAACTTTTAAAGAATTCAAATTTAATTTTATTGATGCACTCTATGTATATTGTACCTACTTAAATTCAATCTTTAATTTGATGTATAAACTGAAAACCCCACAGATGACCATTTCATTATAATGTTATCAGTTTTGTCTTATGTAAATATTTCAAAAAAATACTTACTTGCATTACCAGTAGAAACATATAGATTTTTGATTAACCCATCTGTTGGCCATGAAAAATCTGAAGCATATACTGTAACATTTTTAAATCTTTGAGATTGATGATTGATTTGCAAATAAACATAATTACCATTTAGTTTAATTCTATATACATAATCTTCACATATCAGTATCTGGCTTATTTCTATATTTATCCATTCTTTTACTGAAATAGGATACGTATTAAAGAAGCCAAATCCATTGCCATTAAGAGAACTAGCAATTTGCAAATAACCGCTTGAAAATAAATAAATGCCAGGAATATGATACCCATTACTAGCATAATTAATTCCTGTAGTATTAGTTAAACGAATAACAGCATAAAACATATCATTAGGAATTGAGTTTGGATAGAAATCAAATGATACTAAGTATTCTTTTTCAATTGATGGTAAAACAGCAAGTATCTTTCCATTAACCAATGGAGTGGCGATGTTCTCAACAAGTCGATCTATAATATTTTAAAATTAAAAATAATAATAATAATAATATTTTATGTGTTATGCAAATTCATCGCCTATCACAACAAGCCAGCTGGGTCTCAAAAAAACGGTTCCATTTCCTTCCAGGCTGTAGTACAATGGACGCTATTACTCAAGTTATAGAGGATTGGAGTCATGCTAAAGATAATAATAAATCAATTTTTGCAATATTCTTCGATTTTGCAAAAGCATTTGATTTGTTGATCATGACAAGTTGCTACTAAAGTTGGTGAATATACTACCTAACTGGCTCACATCTTGGATCGCAGCTTACTTATCTAATTGTTGCCTAAGAGGAAAAACAAGTTATCACACCACTGACTGGAAATATAAACAAGCCAGAGTACTTCAGGGTAGTGTTCTTGGCCCAATCTTATTCAAACTCTTTATTTCCGATATAAATACCTACCTCCCACCTGAAACCATTCTCGAAAAATATGCTGACAACATCCTGACCTACATTATCTATGATAAAGTTCCTGTCAAACCTCAATCAATTGCTGATGCTGTCGCAGATTGGTCTTTGGTCAATGAAATGAAACTCAGCAGCTCAAAATGTAAAGTCATTAGAACCAATGCCCTGTGCTCCAACACTCATGCTCTAACATCTCCCATACTCAATAAAACTAAATTTGAAATACAGTTTGAAATACCGTGTTCAATGAAAATCTTGATTGGGATGAAAAATGGATAAAAGTGCACAACACTATAAAATCAGTGCCATTTCTACTCAAGCGCTTTAAGCAAATTGGACACACTTAGCCCAACCTTCTACAAGTCTACAGATCTTACGCTATTAGCTACATGATATATAGTACCACAGTTCTTATCTCTTGCCGTCTTGCAGCAAAAAAAGAGATACAACATTTCCACAAAAATGCCTTACACATCATTGGAGTTAATGCAACCAACTTGAGCCGTCTTAATATTTGTTTTGACATTGAAGAACTTCTTGACAAGACCTGTATTAATATCCTTAAAAAGATACTTGCAGACACAAACCATTACGATAACCACTAAATTAACTCACATCAATAGCAGAAACCCCAACAGATTCCCATTCGCCCTAAATACTGCAATCACTACTACCTATCAGCAATCCTTATTCAAATATACCTACATATTCTTAATGATGGAGTCAGTGAACTCTTCCTCCCACAAAATATTGGAAGCTCAGCTGCTTTTTTAACACATAAATGATCAGTTTCTTAGCTTTTACTTATTATTTAACAATAGATAAAATTGTACAATTAATATAATGTTAGTCAATTTCAAATAAAGATTTATAAAAAAAAAAAAAAAAAAAAAAAATTATTATAATAATAACATTGGTCTAATTATATAAAAAAAGCCTTTAAAAAAATACCCCAAAATAAAACTTATGTCCTTTATTTACTTTTATCTAAATTGAAATTGCTGCACAACAGAGTTTTGAATGCAAACAGTTAATACTAATGACATTCACATTTAATAATTATTTACATATACATTTAATTTAGTTAGAAATTTTTAAATATAATTTTAATAACCTTACATGTCATAGATATTATTAGATCTTTAGTTGTTGTTGCTGTTAGAGCTTCAGTTGCTTTTGTTATCAAAGATTGCATTGTGGTAGTGTTAAAAGGCTGCAGAGATGTTGCTGCAAAAATTATATGAGCTTTTAAACATTTTAGTACTATAAATTAAATATTTTAAACATATATAGTATTTTAAATCATAATTATTCCTATTTAACTATTATATGTAACAATAGCATAAGGATAATATGAAATATATAAAAAAAATAAAATATGAATATAATTATTAGGAATCTCAAAATTGAAAGAAAATTCCCATAAAAAAATCAGATTTTTAAATTTATGCCAAAACATGTATTTCAAATAATTTAAATTATGGCCCAATCACTGCAATAGTTTTCAATCATACCACCTTAATTTATCATATCTCTGTCTAAAGCAGATCCATGGTTAGCATCAAAAAGAGGTAGCTAAAAGCATTCAACAACAATTATAACTCATCAGTCAGCTAATGATAAAAACAAGCAAAATAGTAAAGCTAATAATAATAAATTGTTTGTGAATGGAAGTAGAGAGTTGTCTAAGTTAAATCTCACTAACAAAAACGCTTCAACAATTTTATATTCCTCTGAAGATGAAGAATATCTATGCATTTATTGTTTTGAATCATTTGCTAACAGCAAATCAAAAGAGTCAAGTTTGAAAAAAATAGGCTCATGAAGAATGTGCACTTCAGTTTATTTGTGAAATATGTTCTTCAAAAACATTAGCTGAAAATTGACTCTTTTGATTTGCTGTTAGCAAATGATTCAAAACAATAGCTGAAACTAAGTTGTGAAAAAAACTTAAAAAAAAAACTAGGTAATGTTTTTAGTATGTTTAGAACAATTAGAACAAAATTCAAAACTAAAATTTTTTACCTTGTTATGACTCTTTCCATTTACTATATTAGAAAAAATTAGAACAAAATTTAAAACTAAATTTTTTTAACTCTCATTAGTTTCTAAATCTTAAAAATTATGTTACAATTTAATAATTGACCAAATCTGGTACTAAAATCAACTTAATTAAAGGGTTTAACAATTAACAGATTTTTTTAAATTCTGATTGACAACATGGCTTAATTAAAGACCAATAAAACATTTTACAATAAAGAATGTGATGCTCTAATAAAATCTCTTTAAAATTTGTCTAATTTTAAACTTTCTCATTACCCTTCTGCCAATATTATTGTGATTGGTGACTTTTATGCTCATCAAACTGAATGGCTTGGCACTAACTTTAATGACCCTGCTGGCACTAAAGCCAAAAACTTCTGCATTTCCTAATCTCTTACTCAGATAGTTAGCTTTGTGACTCCTTTTCTAGACAACCCTAATTATTTATCTTCACTCCTATATTTGTGTCTTGTCTCTGACCCTAACTACAGAGTGTTAGCCAGTCCAATAGTACCGCATATACTGTGCACGGCTTACAAAAATCCCAATAATGCCAACCTAGCTGACCAAGAATATAGGGTGATAGTGTAAACACCCCGGTACCCGTCCAGTTTTACGGTGTCTTATTTTGAGCATCTTGCACTGCAGAATATCATACAGGGTCGACCTTGATGCGCCTTTGATCATGAAGTGTCTCACAATATCACTTTTCTTCATATCCGGATGCAAATCTATTAACGCGTACACGCGCTTTCTGAGGTCTTTTTTGGCCTGTTTTGAGATTTTCTTTGCCATTATAAATAATTGTTTGCTAAAAGATATATTGCAATTTGTAGAGAATTAAATTTACTACAGCATAGCATAAGTTGCATTAATTTTGCAACACTCCTTAAACAATTTATGTGGACCGAACTTTTGTCCGGATTTCTAGGTATCACATGTTAAAAGACTATAACACATTATTTATGCTGTAAACAACAAATGATATGCCACATACAGTTTTATAAGTTATTATAACTAAGATCAATAAAAAACACATAAGTGGTGCTCAAAAGGTCAACAATGTTTTGTCTGATATTTTTTGAATTAGGAACTAATAATCAAGATTTGAAGTCTAATCAAAATTTATGTAACTTAAATACACACTTAAATATTCAAAGGGCATAGATGCCTAAGATGAAGATAAAACTGTTGTGCCACAAAAAAAATCAACTTAAAGGTAAAAAAGAGATAAAAAGTAAAACAAAAGCAAAAGTTAAAATCATATACCAGTGGAATCCAGAAGCGCCTTAAAACAAACCATAAATTTGAATTGCTAAAAAAAGAATTGCTTCAAGATGCAGTCTCACAATTGGCTTCCTTTTTATCAGCTTTATTGCCATTTACAAAAAAACCGAAACCCCTGATTCTTCACAAATAAAATTAAGCTCAGTCTTTCACAAGATGTGCAATCGCACGCAATTATATGACCACGCAAAAAATAATTAATTTCAACGATATGATCACTGCTTTTGACATATTTTCAAAATTTAAAAATGCATTACAAAAACTTACTTAAACTTATTTAAAAAAACTTTAAAAAAAGAAAAAAAATCATAACGAAAAAAAAAAAAAAAAGTTAACCAAAGCAAAAACGCACACACACAAAAAAAACTCATCAAACTAGTTTAGTTATTTTAACTAAAGCATTAAAAAACCATTTCATTCTTTGTTGCATTTGTACTTTTTTTTTTATTTTCTAATATGTTTATGACCCCTTATGTTTTTGTTTTTTTAAAATAATATGACCAATATTTTAATGTTACATTTATCATAAAAAAGACAATTACACAAGTAAAAAAAAACAACAGTTTTTAATACTTATTATAAAAATTCATTAAAAGTGTTTTGTTACTTTATTAAAAAGCATTTGGATAATATAAAAGAATTTAAGATCAAACTTACTTAATTGTAACGGCTTTCTAAAACATTTTTCTTTTTTTTTTCAACAAAAATTTGCTTATCATTTCAAATGTATTAACTTTAATTATTCTTATATTAAAATTCGTTAAAAAGACTTTCGTTGTTGTAGAATGTCATTGTTTATAAAAACAAAACAATTTTTTATTTTTTAATAGCATTTATTATAAAAAATGCACACTTAAACAATTTATATATCATAAATTAAAAAAATATATACAACTGTCAATTAAACTTAAAAAAAAAAAAACATTATCAGTAAATTGTTTTATTCATTTATTAGATTTAGTTGATGCGGTAGTGGTGTAGTGGTAAAACGCTCGCTTCATAAGTGAGAGGCTCCGAGTTTGATCTCCACCATGTCCCTGGTAGTACCGTGCTCAACTTATTTCTCAGCGCAGCAACCTTGTTCGTCAAGGTTTAGTTTTAAAGTTATAGAGTTGAGAGAGGGTTATAACCACTATTAAGTAGCCTCCTCATCTGTAGTGGCCTTCTTGGCTTTGAGGAGGTTAATAACAAAATTAAAAAAAAAATTTAAAAGCGTTTCCCTAATATAAAAACATTTGTTCAATGTGATTTATTTCACTAAAGTTATAATTCAGAACATTTTTTATTTCATATATTTCATTTTTAAATGTTTTTTTAAATAGTCCTGGTCAAATTGTGAAAGTAAAATGTAATTTTCCTGGACATATAAAGATGTGCGATCGCATGTCTTCCTGTAAAAGACTTGAGCTTAAAAATTTTTTTAGATGAACTGCCATTTAATAAATTTGCCACAGCTGAATTGAGAACATTCTAGAAGCTCAATGGTTTACTCTAAAACTTTATTGAACGCATACTACTAATTTATATTATCTATATACACTAAGGGTGTTCAAAAAATTAAAACTTTCAAAACACAAATACACAAAAAGCAAAATTTGGTGCAAATATAAAAAAAATACAATACCAATGAAAAAAGTTTGAAAATATTGACATTTACTTAGTGCTCAAGCAGCAAAATACCCTAAAAAATGCCCCAAACCATTCCAAAATTATTAGGCTTTGAGCACATGGTAAATCTCAATATTTTGTAAACTTTATTTTTCTATGTGATCATAATAGTCAAATTTTTTTTTAGATTGTTGTGTATCCTGATTTTTACATTAAAAAATTTAAATGAAAAAATGAAAAAAAAACAATATTGTTTTGCGTATTTGTGCAAAAATATTTTTTTGCACAAACATGCAAAGCCAAATAATTTAGGAAAAATTGGGGCATCTTTCTAGGTATTTTGCTGGTTGAGCACAAGGTAAACATCAATATTTTTTAAATTATTTTTCGAAATTGTTTTTTTTTAAATATATTTGATTCAAGTTTGGTTTGTTTTGTTTTGAAAATTTTAATTTTTTGAGCACCCCTATTATACTCTTACATACATAAATATACATAAATACATCAACTTAAATATACCTTTGCATTTATCAACTGAATAATCAAATGCATAGCCTTCAGAACAAACTAAAGAACGAAAGAGAAGTATGAAAAAAATATTTTATGCAAATATTTCTTTAGCTATTGTTAAAATACATACACAAATATAAATAAATATAAATTTTTCTAACCCCAAAATACCAATTAGTTTTGCCTTTTCACATTGTCATATATATATATATATATATATATATATATATATATATATATATATATATATATATATATATATATATATATATATATATATATATATATATATATATATATATATATATATATATATATATATATATATATATATATATATATATATATATATATATATATACATATATATATATATATATACATATATATATATATATATATATATATATATATATATTATATATATATATATATATATATATATATATATATATATATATATATATATATATATATATATTTGGGTCAAATCTTATAATGGAGAATATATATATATATATATATATATATATATATATATATATATATATATATATATATATATATATATATATATATATATATATATATATATATATATATATTTGGGTCAAATCTTATAATGGAGAATATATATATATATATATATATATATATATAAATATATATATATATATATATATATATATATATATATATATATATATATATATTATATATATATATATATATATATATATATATATATATATATATATATATATATATATATATATATATATATATATATATATATATATATATATATTTGGGTCAAATCTTATAATGGAGAAAAATTGTTGTTTTACAAACATTATGTAAATGACATTTTTGCTGCTTTCCCCTCAGAAAACCACACAATTTTATTCTTGGATTATATAAACAAAAAACATTCTTCAATATCTTTTACCATGAAAAAGGAAAAAAACTCAAAAACATCTTATTTGGACATAATTCTATATAAGCCAAGCAGTTAAAACAGTTTTTTCATAAAAAAACCTTTACTGGATTATACACCAACTTTTACAGTTTTACTTCATTTTCATATAAAATAAGTCTTATAAAATGTTTAATTGATAGAACTTTCAAAATTAACAACACTACCCTTGGTCTCCGCTATGATATTAAAAATCTTTTCAAAATTCTCAAACATATTATGTGCCCATCTTGGCTGATAGAAAAAATCCACAACACTTACTTTAATAAAGATAATTATGTCGTTCTATTACCGTCTGAAGACTTTACAAACTCTCGCTATTTCAAATTCCCTTATATTGGTCGAATATCTGAGCTAACCAAATGAAGATTACACACAATTATAAAGAGACATTGTAAGTCATTTACCGTAAAATTAGTATTTACTTTAAAAGAGTCTAATTTTTTTCATCTAAAGATTACCTTCCTGTAGATTTAAATCATTCGTCGTCTACAAATTTGTTTGCGCAGGATGTAAATCCTGTTATATTGGCGAAACCTCTCGCTACCTAAAGACGCAAGTGATTGAACACTACAGAAGGGATAAAAACTCTCTTATTTATAAACATCTTCACTCAAAAGAAAAATGTTTTAAAAATTATAACGATGAATGCTTTTCAATTTTGGATCATGCTAAAAACAAAATTGAACTAATTATATGTATGTATATGTATTGAATTAATTATATGTATGTATATGTATTGAATTAATTATATATATATATATATATATATATATATATATATATATATATATATATATATATATATATATATATATATATATATATATATATATATATATATATATATATATATATATATGTATATATATATATATATATATATATATATATATATATATATATATATATATATATATGACAATGTGAAACCACTAAACCAATTGATATCTCATGGTTAGAAAAATTTATTATTTAATTTGTTATCGAATATTATATGTGGTAGTGGTGTAGTGGCAGAGCATTTTCCTCATAAGCAAAAAGTTCCGAGTTCAATCCCCAACATGTCCCTGATAGCATTGCGCTCAACTTGTTTCTCCTCGCAGCGTCCTTGTTTGTTAAGGTTCGTGTTTTGGAGTTATAAATTGAGAGAGGATTATAACCACAAAAGTAGCCTCCTCAACTGTAGTGGAATTCTTAAAAATTAAAAAAACTAAAAAATAATATATATATATATATATATATATATATATATATATATATATATATATATATATATATATATATAATAAATATGTATATATATATATATAACATATTGTTATTGTCACTTTCAATCAAATGATATCCAAATTCATATCCGAAATTATGGACTTGTATCAGTAAAAACAGATCAGAGTTTCATATAACCTTAAAATTGTCAAAATTTTATTTACTGAAATTTACTGTTTAGATTAGTTTATACATTATTATAGATTAGTTTGTACATTGTTAAACACTTTGTTATTGATAAAGATAACGTACCAACAATAATTAACAAAGTAATATTTATTGTACTATAAAAAGTTAAAATAACTAATATAAAGATATTAGGTGTATAAAAAATTCTACAAATACAAGTAAAATATTTTATTTCTCTTTGATATTTATAAATAACTTGATTTAAATTTTACCTATTACTATGAATAAATATCAATTAATTGCCTTCCTTTATGACAATGGAAACAAATATTTAAAAAGAGGCGGTTCAGGGAAAGATTAAAATGGGGGAGATGACAAGCATGTCATTCCGTGTCAGAATTTATTAAGCTAACTATGATTATGATGCTGGATTGTTGTGCTGAATTATTTGTTAACTTTAATTAATTTAATATGGAAAAAAAGTTCCACAGAAAAGACTTAATTGCAGTCAACTAAAAATAATTACAAAAAATTTGTAAGAGTTCATTTGGAATAAATAGAACAAGAGAATAGAATTGTTGATTTTCTCAAATTAACTATGAATCATATACTAATACACTAAATAAAATTTTTTTTGTTTATTTAATTTAAAAGCATATTAATTTAGCAAAAAGTTATATAGTAAAAAAAACTTAATTATAAATGTTTATTAATGATATATATATATATATATATATATATATATATATATATATATATATATATATATATATATATATATATATATATATATATATATATAAATATATATATATATATATAAAATTATATTTCAGATATGGTAAGACATTATAAGATAAAGAGAATCACCTCTTTTTTTATAGTGTCTAACCATTCCTATAGACTCTCAAGAGATGAGGGGAGCAAAAAAGATATGGCCTCTCCTCAAGAAAATGTAAAAAAAAGACAAAAAAGCTACTTGAGTGCTTCAAATATGTTTAATGTACTTGAAGTTACACTTCCATGCTGCTTGATAAATGATAAAAATGTGAGGATAAATAATAACTTTTAACAAGGTTTAATAATTGCTAATTAGAAACTAGTTACTAATTGACTTAACCTGTTGGTTTAAGTCATGTTCTGAAACTTTTTTCACTAGAATTCTAATTTTTTTTTTAGAATTTTTTTTTTTTTTTTGAGAATTTTTGTTTTGGATTGTACTAGTTGTAATTTGTTGTATACAAAGGAAGATTTGAAAGTCTTCAATTCTGCACATCATAAAAACTTTAAAACCCCACTTAACAGCAAAGGAAAAAACTATTTTTGTCTCACCAAAGAAACAAAGCAAATGATTAGTTTTTGACTTTGCACATGTTCAACAATGACACAAAGATGGCAAGAGAAGCATAGATGCCTACTTTGATAAAGAAACATAAAATTAATGTACACAGACAAAAATCAACAACAATTACCAGAGCAAAAGATTTCAAAAAAGAAAATAAATAGATAGATTTTTCAACACTTAGAGGGAGCAAAAGAAAAAACATAAATTTCCAACTTCAACCTACAATGCGGATGAATAAGGTCAAAGTTTAGTAACATTTTGTTTCTTGTGCCTAATAAGCACAAGAGTGCAATCGCATTCGCTGCCCGATCAAGCCTGAGACAGGAACAAAAACATATATATATACATATACAGAATGCAATCGTAAATAATTGTACACTTGAAAAAAAATCGTAATTTTGAAGATTGCATCAAAAAATTAATTTTGCGTTGAATTAGAATTATTTTTTAGATATCTTATCAAGTATTGTTTTGTGAATTTATTTGTAGATTGATGAGTTAATTACTTTTTATACCTATTGAATTTTAAAGAATTGATCTAATGATGCATACAATTGACTGCAAAAAAAATAATATTACGCTGACAAAATAGGTCATTATTTTAGCATAAATTGAGCAAATTGAACAATTAAACTAGTAAAATTAAAAGTAGACCACTAGTGCAATTGATCTCAATTTCATTATTAATGTTAAGAAAAAAAGATTTGTTTCGGCAGCTAAATTGGCTCTAAAAGCTCAAGAAGATCACAATATCACAGTAACCCCTCAAACAATTAGAAATTGTATAAGAGAACAATGATTAGAGGTAAATAGTTCAAAAAAAAATTTTTCAACTTCAAAATGAATAAAACAATGATTAGAATTTGCAATGAAGTATAAAAAATGGCAATATCTCATTGGAAAAAAATTTTGTGGTCAAATGAGTCCAAATACAACCTTGTCTCATCGGACGGAGTTCAAAAAGTGTGGCAAAAAAAAAGAAGCTTATAACTTAAGTTGTTTGCGAAGTAGTATGGAGGAGAAAACCTGATGGTTTGGGGTAGTATGAGTTGGATAGGAGTTGGGAAATTGACATTTATTGATAAAAAAATGGATGTTTTAATGTATTGTGAATTCTTAAAACCAACTTGCAACCATCTACTAAAAAATGAGAATGGGAAACAATTTTATACTGCAGCAGGATAACGATCCAAAACATACTGCTAAAAAAACGAAGGTATACTTTGACACAATTAACATCAATGTTTTGGAATGGCCATCTCAAAGTTCGGGCTTGAATCCTATAGAAAATATTTGGTATATTTTGGTCAAAAAAATTGATGACCGAGCATTTAG